GGGGGGGGGCGAGGGGAGAGGCCTGAGGAGGGCAACCGGGGCTGGGGGACCTGTGGAGAGCGAGGGGGAACACGGGCATGACACGGCCCGGGCCGCACCTCTCCTCGCAGCTAAAAATCCTTCATCGTGCTGCTGCTGTCACCTGCTTAAAAGAAGTACAGTGTTTTGGGAAAGTCATCCGGACCCTGCTGTGGCTCAAAAGACCCTTGAGAATGTGTGTTTTGGTTGCTGCAGGTCCCTGCCCTGCAGGAGCACAGTCTGTTTGAAGGCAAGGGAAAGAATTGCCCCGTGCAACGAATGTCGAATGTCCTCACGTTCCTTCTGCCCTCTGTTCCTGGTGTGTTTTGGTTGAACCTGTCAGTTGCACTGTTGTAAAGAAAAGACAGCCCAAACACAGGCTGAAATGCAGTATTGGGCTGTAGAAGTCTGTCCTGAGCATCTATGACAAGAGTCAAATTACTGAAAGCCAAATTAAAAAAAAAAAAAAAAAAGGAATCAGGTGCTTACTGCTTACCTAACAAATTAATTCACAGATCAGTTACAGAGAATTCCAGACACACAGACAGAAAAGGCAGTGAGGTAGAGTGCAGTAAGCACAATGTGAATGTGGTCTTTATAAAAGCCATCGATCGGGAAAATGTGTTGGAAAATCCTGAGTGCTAGAAGTATCGAAGTGGCCGTCAATGCTTGAGCTCATCCGTGTGGACCGTGTTCCATTTAAGTCTCTGTGTCTAGTTAATGAAGGAAGGTAAGTGTTAATGAGGTCATTTGAAGAAGAGGACTGGGTGTTTGCTATTATCAGCCAGAAGAAATGCAACGCACAGGGCCTGGGATGTAATTTTGTCTTTATAATTACAATCCAAATAGGTTAGAATTTGCATGTCCCTTTAAAGTATCAAATATGTCTGTGTTTATTTTTTTTATTACTTTTTGAGAGTGGTGTCAGCTCTGTGAGCACTTGGGTCAGTGCCTATCTCTGTTTATGGTGGAACAGACAATTCATAGAATCACGGAATGGTTTGGGTTGGAAGGGACCTTAAAGCCCATCCCGTTCCACCCCCTGCCATGGGCAGGGACACTCCCATTAGCCCAGGTTGCCCAAAGCCTCATCCAGCCTGGCCTTGAACCCCTCCAGGGATGGGGCATCCACAGCTTCTCTGGGCAACCTGGGCCGCTGCCTCACGACCCGCACAGGAAAACATTTCTTCCTGATACCTAATCAAACCTTATTGTGTGACCTACATGGTAGCTTATTATCAGAATAGTATTAGAAAAATTTAATGTATTTTGCAGCTCTTGGTGTCACTTAGCAGAAAGAAACAAAAGAACCCATTTATTTCTTTATTTCCTCTGTATTAAGGATAGTTCCCAATTATTTGGGGACAGGTTTTGAAATGAAAGTGAAGTGACCCAGAGAGATGTTCTTTTTGTACAATCTTGTATATGAAAAATCTGCAAAGGTTTTTTTTTTTATAATGAGAGAGTATTGTTCGTTTTAACTGTACAAATATTATGGACCTAGAGATGCACATTGTAATCAGCTTTATATTTTAATTGAAGGCACAGGGATGTTGAATATTACTGTGTGATGCTGTGAGTGGGAAGCATTTCAATTATGCCTGTAAGCACAATATTCTGAATATGCAATGTGACCTAGAACTTGCCCTCTTCTGAATTAAGATGGACTTGAAATTAAGTAATGTAGACTCAGAAATAACACAAAACTGGTTTTAGCCTTCAGTCATGATGTAATGCCTCAGACACTCCCCTTGCAGTTTGTTATCAGAACTAATTGGATGGTTCCCAAACCTCAGACTAATATAAGTTTTTCTTCATCTCTGCATCTGTGTGCTCAAGACAGAAAATCTGTTGTCCTCTTAGTAGCTGTTTGCAAGCATAATGCGTTTTAAATGCTATTTTTTTACCATTTCAAGAGCAGTCTTTGCAGGGTTGTTATTAATGCTCAAGCAAACAAGGTGCTTGTTTAGTGAGCCAAAAGTGGGTGGCCAGCATCATCCTGCAGAGACTTGGCAGTGGAAAACTTAGCATTCCCAGTGCAGTGGGACCCCATATCATTGCAGCAAGTCGTGAAAACTTGCCTGGATGTTTTTCTCCCAAAAGAAGAATCCATAACTGAGTTTTACCTTCTTCACTGAACTGTGCAGGCAGAAAGAACAGAATGGTCCGAGAGTTATTTTTTCAGCAGTAAAACCAAAAGCACTCAGAGGGTAGTTCAGCTCAAAATCCATGTTATTCATGAGTGCACAAAGTTACAGATTCCCTAGGTGACATTTGTTTTCCGTTGGACACTTGCAGCCCCTTTTTGGAGTCGATAAACCAGCTGCCTTCTGGCAGAATTGTAAATAAGCCAGTGGCTTCTAGGAGTGCCAGGGCTGGGCAATCTTGCTTCTCTTACGAGTGAGCCAGATGGCTGAGTCCAGAATACAGCTTGTAGGATTTCTTTATAGAGGAGACAGCTAGGTAATTGCATCTTGCAGGAGATATTTTGTGACTTTGTAATTATGCTTTGGTTTCTGTATATATTTTGTATACAGGATCTAAACAAAATAATTAATTTGATTATTGTAAGTCACCTTGTTAAGCATGGATGTTTACCCGTTTCTTATTACTGTTTGTTACTTGACACAGTAATAAGGCATAGGATGGGAAGTTAATTCGTTTCTAACTACCTAAAGTAATTAATTAGGAAACTGCTTTCCCAGGTGTACCTGAATTAACTCTCTCGTCTCATCTGGGGGTTTTATTACAATACTGTTGGAAATTGCTCTTTCCAGAAAGTATTATTATCTTGTATTATACAGTTTGGAAGGATTTTTTTTTCCTTACATTTATATTTTGATGGCTTCATAATGTTATCAAACGTTGTATATTTTGGAAATAGGAAGGTTTGGTGGGTTAGAGTTTGGGTGCCCTTGTCACCACCTGCATTTCACAGTGCTTCTGGCTATAGATGAATGTGTGACACTGAGCTCTGGTTGCTTGTTCCAGATCCTGTTTTGTCCACTGTTGTCTAAAGCTGCCTTTTCTCTTTTCATTTTTGCCTGAACAATTGGGGGTTTTTTTGGTCTTTGATGAAGTTTTGAGGATTTCAGTGCATGTCATGCAAATGAATACAATTTAAGATGTTCTGTACGTTTGAATATTCAAAATTATTCATTTTACAGAGAATTTGCTAGTATGTAATCTATCAGAAAAGTAACACATAGATAATTGAGGTTAGAGGATGGATTCCCATTTGTATTATTGCATTTGTTTACTTTGATGCTTGGTATATTTGCTTCCGTGTTGTAATAGGCTTTGAATTCAGCACCAAAGTCAACTTTTAAGGAACTGAGACCTCTCATCTTCCATTTTAATGGCAGAATATATTTTTTTAGTCTTGCTTTGTTTACTACACATATACTAAGGAAGGCATATGAATATTTTATATATTCAGATGTATAAATGTGTGTATACATACATACGTTTGTATTTTTGAAAAATTTTTGAGCCACTGCCCTGCACGTTTTCCCCCATGAGAAGGGTGAAACCCCAACTGCATCAAATGATGTCACTTGATACATAAGCCCCTTACATCCTCACTATGATGAGCATAGGGTGGAAACCAGCATGGAAATTAATACTTTTTGTGTATAGGAGCTTATTGTGTTTGTGAACATGACTGTATTGTATTGGGTTGTTACTTCTTTTACAAAATATTCTCCTTTAAAACATACCCTCCTTGATGGCTTCCATTAGAGTTTCTCCCTCAAGCACTATTATCTAAAGACAGCATGTTAGTTGTTGGGCTTATCAGGGTGGATATTCATGCCCAGAGAATGTTATGTTAGCTGCTTACTCATTGTGTAGAGAGCAGTGCAACTGTTAGCAACCCCGTTTCTTTGGAGCTGAGCTATTAAAGTCACTGTTCCAGGAGAAAGTCCTCTAGATCTAATTTAGATAAATTCCTTTATTGTGTTTCAGAGTTCTTTTGCAGTTATTTGGTAAACAATGAAGGTTCTGCTGCTGAAGGATCCCAAAGACAAAGATTCAGGACCAGATCCGTATATTAAAGTGAGTAAACTTTAAAAAAAGTGAAGAATTGTGTCAGTTCACTGTTAAATAATAGTATAATGTGTCAGCAAGATAGATGAATTTAACTGTTTCAAGTGAAAAGTGTGCTTAATCAAAATTAGGAGTGCATGTGTGAAATTGTGGTATTTTCTAAGAAAAATAATAAAAATTAGGAATGCATGTCTGAAATTATGCTAAGAAAAAAGTATGCTAGAAAATTTGGTGTTACTGAAAAAAATAGTTATGGGGCATTCATACTGAATTCACTGTTAAAGCTCTCAGCAAAGTACTGCTATTAAACCAATTTAATTTTAATTAATGAATATTGATATGTGCTGGTGTATACTGTAACTATTCAGGAGCTATGTAGGAGGTGTCAGTCCCACAGCTGTTTGTTGAGTATAATGTTACAGTACTAAATGACTGTAACTATTCAGGAGCTATGTAGGAGGCACCAGTCCCACAGCTGTTTGTTTAGTATTATGTTACAGTACTAAATAACTAACAAAACCAAACTAGATTCGCTAGTAAAAGCAAATAATGTGCCATTTCTATTTTATTTTGGTAAAAAGAAATATTTGACCTAGTCAATTCTTTGAAAAAGAAAAAAATACTGTTTGAAATCTATGTCAAGAACGGTAAACTTTCTTTTTCATAGGAATTAGGATTATGTGGATTTGAAGCAACTTTGATTCCAGTTTTGTCATTTGAATTCCTCTCTCTTGAAAGCTTATTTGAAAAGGTAAGTTTTAAATTATTTCGGTTGCCTCATTTGCAACAGGATTTAGGCCATGGTTGCCAAGATGCCATCTCTTACCTTGATTTAATAATATTCTTCTCCTTGGTGGTACCCCTTCTTGTGTTTCCACAAACACAGTTGTAGACAATACTGTGTTGTATCGTGTACACATCAAGTGTGTTGCCCATACTTGTTAAAGAATTAATTTGGTTAGATAATATTTGCATTTGGGTTGATGGACCATAGATACTCACAGGTAGTGAGAATTAGTATAATCTGTGCAAGTTTTGTTCTGAATTTGAGATTTGTATACATTTCTCTTACAAATACTCTGGCTACTGACACTAATTTCAGTTTCAGATATTTATTGAAGCTGTTCTGTTCTTCACAAGATTATAAAGAATTGATCAATTTAAATTTTTAATTTATTTACTATTTTTTTTATTTCCTTCTTAAATTTACTGTTGATGAGTAGCTCTCTCATCCAGAATGTTACGAAGGCCTAGTGTTTACCAGTCCAAGAGCATTAGAAGCCATCAAGATATGTTTAAAAGAGAATAGTAAAAATGAAGGTAAGTGCATATTAATGTTCCTTGGCCTTTCTCTTTCAATGTTTTATGAAGTTTGTAATTTTATTTCACTCACCACTAGGTGTTTGGAGTATGCCTTTTTTTAAAAGAGCTGTATCTCATAGTTCTTTTGGCATCATAAAGCCTCATGCTAAATTGAGCTTTTAAAGGATTGAGGGTTGGGTTTTCCCCAAAGTGATAACTTTTGGCCTTATGTTTCTATGTGCTCTTAAATTATATCATTACTGTATCTGCTCCATATTTAGGCTGTAGTCATAGTAATCAAGGTATAGTAAGGTTACTCTCCCTAGTAAGCAGTAAATACACTGTCAGTTTATTTTAGAATTTTCAACAGCAGAAGGCTGTATTTCAGGATTTTTGGTGAAATGTAATCTCTTATCATCCCTAGTCTCGATTAGGAATTTTGGGAGCTGCTGAAATACATATTTTAATCAATAAAATGAGTCTTTAGTTCCTGCTTGGGTTCCTTTCAAAGGGAATAAGTCCTTTTCTTTCTGCTTCTTTAGAATAGTTTCCTTTGATTTTATTTTTCTTTTTACCATTGTAGTTTCTATTTCTAATTTTTTTTCCCAAGGATACTAGAAAGGCACTCAATGTCCTAGGCTGTGCTGGTTTCAGACAAGACAGTAAAAGACTGAGCGTATCTGGTTTTGACCCATTGGGATTTCAGGCATCAGGTAGCTGGATCCAGGAAGTGTAGTCTAGAACATACTGACTGCCTGAAGGAGGAAAATCATTTCCTAGTGATTTGAGTCTCTGGTACGCTTTATTTCTGAGCTGATAACTTATTTTTGGTGTTATGTTTAAAATATAATCATTTTCTGTATTTTTTCTTGTATAAGAAGGAGTTGCATTACAGAGTACTGTAGTGCATGGTTATAGATTTTTACCCTTTTATTTGTTGTATTAGATTTGGGTTTTGCCTAAGCCTTCAGTTTTAAACCACCAGCTTGTGTGTCTAAATCTCCCATGGACTATGTGCTGTTTTTTCCAGTGAGTTTTGATGCTTTTTTAAGCTCTTAATGCCAAAATATAAATGAACCCTGCAAGCTGCCTGTGATCTGGCACAGAGCGAGTATGCATTAAAAAGCAGCGAAGAACTGTTTACTCAAATTAGGCTTTTAAAAACATGTTGTAGACTGGTATTTACACAATGAAAGAAATACCTTAAAAATTCATTTCGTACATCCTGATCTGCTGAAATATGTAGTGAAAAAATGTATATTAGTTATTATTATTTTGCTGTATTTGTAGATGAAACAGAAGTCCAAATACTCATTTAGCATTCATATTTTGTTGCCACGTGCTTCAATTTAATTTACTCTTTTTCAGCCTGGTCAAAATCTCTTAAGCAAAGATGGAATAGCAAACCAGCATACGTGGTAGGAAAAGCTACAGCTTCTCTAGGTAAGCTGGGGTTTTAAAAAAGAAATTTTAGAGAAATCTATCGTGTAAGTACAATTTTTGGAATATCAGCTGCTATTCAAGAATGCTTAGAAAAAATATAGGTAAGAGGTAAGTTTTGTAAATGGATAATATTGAAAACAAGTAATTGTATACACATTAGAACTATACCTGCATAGTTCAGCTAAGCATCTAGCTTCTGGTTTTTCATTGCTTTTATTGTAATGTGATGGTAACTAACAATGTGGTCAAAAAAAGAAAAAAAACCCTTTGTTCTTAATTTGCATGTGGTTTTTTTCATTCACTTTGGAAATGAAATTGGATGAAGGGAATTATGATTGTCTGAGATTGCACAAAGCCTGATGCACTGGCTCTTCGTTCCCTCAGTGTTCCTGTGAGACATGTGCCTAACAGAAGGCAGCTGTATCCATCTCGTTGACTTCAGTGGGTCAGCTGCTTTATTTGTCTTGACGCTGGTTTTCATCTGATGTAATACACATTTTATGTGCATAACAAAAATGCAATGTAGATTTTAGTTTATGAAAGCCTTTCTCATGGTAAAATTGAATTGTAGCTTTAGCTTCCACTGACCCACGTAGGAAAAGACTAACATTAGAGGATTTTAAAAGTCTTGATGTTTTTCTGCTTCTAATCCTGATGTTTTTCTGCTTCTAATCCAAAAATAAATCGGGTGAATACTGGCTACCTCTGTAAGAAGCATATTTTTTCAGGGAGGCTGGTAACAGTACTGAATCGCCAACCGGTGACACCTAACAAGCATCTTCAATCGATCAAGTCCCAAATTAGTTAACTTCTCAGGGATTCCTCCTATCCGTACTTACTAGCTTAAATAAGAGAATTAGTACACTCTCAGATTTTCCAAAAGGATTTCATCCTTTGCTACAAGAACATTGGAAAGCTAGCTACAACCAACCCATGCCAGGAGCTGCACCCCATCCAGCATAGTCAGACACTGCTTTCTATTTTCACCGCTTCAGGTATGAGAGTTTAAAAACTCTCCAGAACAGCTTAGCTATCCCCAGAATTCTTCATCTGTGCTTCTTTCATTTGTGTCCTTCTAGAGCCAAAACTGAATTTTTTCGTAGCATGTTACTACTGCAAGTGCTGGCATTTTTTTTGCTTTTCAAAGAAGTATTTGTGTGCTTGGATCAAGTTTATCCCCATGTTTCTGTACCAGTAAATCTGAATTGTTCTTATTGATTTCACTGTTTTTCTTTGCTACTTTTGGTGATAGTGGAAGAAATTGGCCTTACTCCACAAGGAGAAAAGTCTGGAAATGCTGAAAAATTAGCTGAATATATTTGCTCAAGTAAGTATCTAGAATCTACTTAAATTAAGCTAATGTACCTTCCATTGTTTCAGAATTTCCTATAAATAAAATCAAGTGCACACTGAAGCAGAGAAGTACATACTGCGTATATGGTTTTGAAGAAATTGCAGAAAGGGTTAGTTAAAATGATGGTTTGTGTTTTGTTTAACCATTTTGTTGTAGCCAAGGCTGCAGTGCTGCTTCTAAATGTATTATCAGATTGTTGAATAATTTTACAAGTCTAGTTATTCTACTTCCACTTTTTTTTTTACTGTAATGTGTTAAAATTTCCAATAGTAATAGGAAACATTTTTAGGCTTAGGAGCTGATTAATTTTTGAGCGGCTGGCTCGGTACAAGCTGTGAAAAACCAAGCTGGGCTTTTGTGCAGCCTGGGTTCCAGAACTCGAGTGAAGAATGTCATAAGCAGGAGCTCCCAGTGAAATGAGTTGGACTTCAGAGCTTCTGACAGACGTGGTGGTAGTGTTCCAGGAGATTCACGACAGAGGTGCACTTCAAAGTGTCCGTCGGAGTATCGGCTGGGAGATACTAATTCAGCAGAATGAGTCCCCAAGCGCTCTGAAACTCACTGCTAAAATAATCTTTGCTGAATAAGGTGCTAGGTGCTTCAGTAGTGGAAATGATGTCGAGAACCCTGCCATGTTATTTTTGGGTGTTAGGCATAACATTAGACATGAAAGAG